CGCCATCCAGCCGCCCCATTGTGGGCCTAACCAAACTCATAATGGGCTTGCTAAAAGAGGCCCCTTTAGTGCCTTCAGGACGAAAAGAGTAAAAAAAAAGAGAGATCGTTGGATGATAATTTATTAACATCCTAAAAATTCGGTTGGTGTATTAAGCAAAATATTTTAAAAATTAATGGAAATATTTTACTAATATGATTATTATTAATTATAAATATGAATAAACGACATTATTTTTATAATAATTAAATTTTGGCTATTTTCAACGAGTCAAATGACAGCATAGCAACCGGTTGTTTACTTTTTTGCTCTCTCCAAATTCAATTAAGATGTAAACACAAGAAAAATATTCAAATTTTCGTAAAATTTGCCAGGTAATTTTTACTAATTACATCTTATAATTATTAATTATTCTAAAATCAATTTTAAAATAGGCTTTAAACACGTGTTTTTAAAATAATAAAACTAATTTTTTAATCTCTAAATGATTTATTGGATAATGTAAATATACATAATTAATCTGTTTATAAGAAATTAATTATGTATAAAAACAACTAATTATTTTTTCATTTTAAATAAGCATGAAATTTATCATTTATAATACATAAGTCATTAAAACATTTTGAAATATGGAGGAAAGAGAAAAAATTTAAATATTTAAAATTGACAGGTCTATTGTATATTACAATGTTAGTGTTAAATTAGTATTGATTTTTAACTATATTGTTTATCTACAAATAAACATATATTGCAAATGGACATCTTTCTTTTCATATATAAAAATATTTACTGTTGTTTTATTTTTTTTTTAACTAAAACTTTTAACAAAAATAAACATAATCAAAATTTACTTGATAATTTATTGCATACTTCATTTATACCTATCATTTTGAATGCCTATTTGATTCACTTCAGAAGCGTGTAATATTACTTTTATTTTTAAATTCTGTTTAAACATTGATTTTGTTTTTTATTATAGAGCCGTAACAAAGTTTAATAGAAGATTCTTCATACAATTTGTTAAGGTAATAAAATTTTAAATCTCAAGTGAATATTTATGAAAATAACAGTCATTATTAATAACTAACATGTGCATATTTATTATTGTTTTGAAACAACTGTATATTCTACTTTGTAAGAATTTATAGTTTTAGTTATGTTATGCTGTCCATTAATTACATGTACAGTTTTTAAGCCACTTTTGATTCCCCCTTTATTCCTAATTGTATAAATAATAATGTTTAGTATTATTATTTTAGTACTAGGTATGAAAGTTTATACATTATCCATAGAAGGAAAGGTAAAAATACATTAATGAACCATACAATTTTTGAGCCACTTTTGATCCTCTCTGTTGTATACATTGATGTTCTTTTGGCATACTCCTCCCCTTTAATTTAGTGTATGATAGTTTATGGACTTCCTTGATGTTGAAAAAAATGAATTTAAAAAGTACTGCAAATGTTTTCTTACTGATAGTTTATTCACATAAATAGTAAGTAAGCTTATAAGAACAAATTGATATTCCACTAATACGACTAAAAACAGTCCGTGTATAAACAATGCCTTGATTATCTCAATCATTGCCATGTCCTTTCCTGTCAAACTGGACAGCGTCTTATTGACAAATATAATATATTTTGTTCATAAAGTTAGAAATTGTTCATACAGGTAGAAATTGCTTATTGTAATCACAGATTATCAGAATTAGCATGCTTAAAACATGATTTAAAATACACATAAAACTTCACTTATTCTAATCAGAATTTGGTTATACAGGTATACCTCGCCTTACGTCGGTAATTGGTTCCAGGAAAACGACTTAAGTCGAATTTACTTGTCTCCAAATCTACTTGTCACTAGGCTAAACCATAAATTACTATTCCCAGTTCTGTATTTTATTTATTAATGCATTTTTAATAATATATGGTTAATAAGATAAATTTTTATTATATAGATGTAATTTTCTTGTTTGATACATTAAACTATAGTTACTCTTAAATTTGCACCTCAACTTCCCAAATTTTTTTTAAAAAAGCAGCTGAAAAAGTGGTGCTAAAACTTTTATTTGCATAAAGTGTAACAACTCATAACCAATTTACTGAATTATTAGACTATTATTGGGCTTTAGTTTCACTAACAGCATAGACCAAAAATAGCCAATAATTTAACAGATCATTTGACATAAAAGTATACATATAGCATGTTCTGTATAATGTGTAAATAGCATAAAAGTATACATATTTTGCATGTTTAAAACTTGAGAAAATGATTAGAAAATTCAAATCAGTTAGTCACTTTTAGAATATGATACATCAATTTCATAGTTTAGACAAAAAAGCATTATACTTGCAAACAGTTCTACATTTTTTAGTCAGCCATAGATGACATGAAGAAAGTAAATCTTTGAACTGCATAAATGATCTCTCAACATCAACAGATATTAGAGGAGTATATTTGGTCTTTACTAAAAAGTCCAGGTTTTGTGACTGAAGATGCTTGGGAATTGTATTTTGAATATCTGGAGTTTTGCTCAGGGAATACTCCCAAGCAAAACTCCAGTTTATATATACAGTAGAGCATTGCTTATCTGAAACAGTTCTGGACTGGGGTTGTTTGCATAACTGATCATTTTCGAAAAAATATACAGTACAGTTTTGTGTTTAATATATATTTTGTATTACATGTCTTACAACTACATACCTTACATAAAGTAGTACATTAAAGTAGACCTATGGTTTAGGTTGGCAGGGAGGGGAAGAGTGCTGCAGCTCCACAGCACTAGTGGAAATTTGAATATGCTGACTAGAACGCTTTTGGTTAACTGATGTTCTATTGTATATCTATATGTAAACTTGCTTCTGAATAATGGAGTTAAATTTCTATATAACAAATTTTTTAAATTTCTCTAAATTTCTTTTTAATTCCTATTTCTCTAAAGTAAATCCATTCAATTGGTCTTTGGTGTGTTAAAAAGTCAGCCATCTGCTGAGAAGAAGTGGAAATCTTTGTCAAGTTTAGAAACTGAACTGCACAGGAACTTGTAAGAGTGAACAGTGTAGAGTTCCTTTAAAACTGCTTGTTTCAACAGGCTTGAGTTTCATTGTGGCTACTGAAGAATTTTTATGTAATTTATCAATGAATGCTCCCATGTATGAGAAATTTTCAGTATAAAAACAAGCCACTTAAATCCATGTACTCCACCTCCTAGTTATGGTGTTTTGGAAGTGGCAAGCTAGTTATCTTTCTATAGACTGTAATTCATGTAAAGATATTAGAATATAGTTAATGGATTTTTGTTTCTCTTTAACTCAGAAATACAGTCAAACTTCCATATTATGAACTTCTAGGTAGTAAATCTCTCCATATAATGAATTTTTGCTTTGTACACTGTTTTTTCAGCCAAAAATATATGTAAACTTTCTTCTAAACAACAAAGTTAAATTTTTATATAACAAATTTTTTAATTTGTAAGGATCATGATCATTAATTAATTGTCCTTTGAATTAAATCTGACTACTAAAATTCATAGTACTGTATTTTTGCAGAATAATTGGCATGTCACGTATGGAAGACCAGAATGCTGGAAACTCTGGGGTTATTGGCACGCCAGTTAAACTGCAACTAAAATATAAAATTAATCAGATCTAACAAAACTAGTTGTTAATTAAACTAGTTTTTAATTTTAGTTTAGTAAAAAAGTAGTTGTTTAATTAAACTAGTAAAACTAGTTGTTACAGAAAACATTCTTCCCAGTACAATAAAATAACAACAATGTAATTTGACTGACTTAAAATCAGAAAGTTTTTATTTATAAGACAATAAAACAATTAACAATTTATTGAAAGTAGTAATAGTATTAGTAGTCAGTGTGAGCTACTCTGACCTTAAAAATAGCACCTTTCTCTCAAATTTCACTCAAAGCCAATGTTAATTGGTATAAGTTGAGATAATTTACAGAGAGTTTCATTTCATAAATTTTGTGTTTATTTTTGTTTTTGAATCAAATTACAATAAAATAAACATATGAAATTCTGAAATTTTTTTTGAGTATTTTACATTCTTAGAAAGAAGACAGACTGAAGAAATTAAACATATAATGGTAGTTTTTGATGTAATGCTGATAATTTCCCAGTTTTAGAATAAAAACTCATTTGTTTTTACTTGAGGTAACTTGTTCATTTTTTAATGTGTCCTCTAAAGAAGGATGTATAACATCACTTAAACTGGAATTCCCCAGGATAAACTGGCATGCCAGTTTTTACCATATGAAAATATCATCTGATTTTGTGGTTTCCTCAGATAGACCAACATGCTAAACAATCTGCAAAAATATTGTTGTAATTAGACTTATTGAAGGACAGTTTGTTGTTTATTTTTCAATATTTTCTTACAACTTTATTATGGTATTTATTAATGTTTTAAAGATATGTATATTTAATTGATAGATACTAAGCAAAATTGTTATAAGAAATTAAAAACTAAAAAGGGTTGTGTAAAAACATAAAATTTCAATATTTTTTTTAAATTTTAAAGATATTTTGAAAAATGCTTGACAATGATTAGTGAATGATAAATTGTACAGTCTCGATTAATCATTCATCGTTAATTGAGTAACTTGATAGTCATCCCATCCATAGTAAGTTCTCTTATACAGTGCATATTGGACTGACAATGACACATTGTATTGAATCATTCTGCATTAATTGAATCCTTTGATGCATATTATAAACAACACTATAGTGAATTTTGCACTAAATGAAATTGCAAAATGCAAAACTCTAAATCTACAGAATGGTAAAAAATAACTTTAATCATAATTTAGTAAGAATTACATAATAGTTAGAAATTATGCACTTTATTTTGAATTATTAAAAACAGATAACCATGATTTAAGTATTTGCACCCTAATATGAAATAAAACATTGTTTCAACATATAAAAGTATTTACAAATAATAATAATAATAATTACAAATATTTTACAAATTGTTTTAGCTTNAAAAATGAAAAACAATATAGTTGTGCAAAGTTTAGATGAGGACGGTTCTCATACTATTCCAAATCCAATTTCAGATTTTATGCAGGCATTCAAAAATTATCGTAAGTAAAATATATTCTGATTATGGTTTTTTTCCCATTTTATTATAAATTTCACATTTAAGTTTTAATGATATCAAAGAAGTTTAATGAAAAATAACTTTTTAATTTGTTGTTTATATTATAAAGATGAAAATAATTACTGTAAAACCTTAACGCATTATTTTTTAGAAGATTAAAACAAAAACAATAAAATAGGGAAAACAATGGTCCAGGAAACCATTAAAAACTATAGATAAGAATGGTTTAATAATTATTATGTTTTGAAATATATGATAAAACATTACAGTGTATTTAAAAAAATTCTTGCTGAAGAAATCTTCAACACTTATTTCTTTCTAACTTGCCTCTCAATTTGAAGTAAAAATTTTCAAAACAGAACACTTTCAGGATTACTGTCATTCATGCTGTGCACATAAATGAAAGATTTTACTTTCATTTGCTGTTTTTGAACCTCAGCAAAATTAAGCACAACTTTGGTTTGCCATATTCTCATTCTTCTACCATGGACATTAAATATGCTATGCTCATTATGTTTGATATTTAGCCAATGAGCATGAATTTTTGGATGTTGTTGACTACACATGTGCAAAAGAAACATTCTTATGTATTTATGTATCAACTTAATTGCCATGTGAGTTTTCTACTTCCATGAATATGTTGAAGGTTTTAATAGAAAAAAATTTGAAAGTGTCTGTGGAAATGAGTCTGCTGAGGAATACTCTCAACTGAGACACTTTCAAACAACAATAATCTTTGAATTTAACTTCGTTTTCAAAAATCATACATCAGATGAGGAAATCAACATATTCAGATCACTTTTCATTTCAATTTGTGAACCTAATTCTTTCTCTCTTTAAGCAATGGTAAAAGTTGAATATCACCATCAGAAAAACATTGTTCCATGGTATTCTATGAACACTTCCATCATAAGCTTAATAGGAAATGACCATAGTGTAGCTTGCTTTGTGATGACTCAGTGAATGTCTATAGTATCTGTATTGTAGCAGTCTGTGTGGCTGAGGAAAGATTGTGAGGAATCTTAAATTAAAAGATTCCTCACAATCTTAAGAGATTAAATCTTAAATTAAGAGAAATTAAAAGATGCATATTGTGTTACTGATAGCTGTTGCTTGACTTTAAAGAAAGGCAGAAGAGATGACAATTTGCATTTTTTAAGACTCAGACTAAAATGCATGCAAAGTATAATAATATTGAACTTTTACTTTTTAATGGCCTAATAGATGAGATGGTAAAGACATCAGTCTATTGTTCTGGGGACTACAATTGAATCTGGGTGGTCAACACCAGGAAATTTTTGAATGGTCTGTCCTGGATATGTTTGGCCATGTCCTTTACCATCAAGTTGCTCCATTATGGAGAAACCTAAGTTAGATAAATTCATGATGTAACTAGAAAAAACAGCTTAGTGCCCACAAGATGGAAAGAGTTTAAAACAGCCTTTACTTTCAAATAAAATAAGAAATTTTTATTCAAAGAAATTTTATATTTTTCCAATTTTATTTTTAAATGTCTTTTTCCCTTTCCTTATTCAATGTTTCCATATTTGTGATAGTTTTTTAGAATGCAACCCCTGAGAATATGGAGCTGTTACCATATTTGAAATTATATTTGAGAAATAAAAACAATGATTAGATATTAAATGATACCTTATTTGTTTGTTGTAAAAGATAAAATCATGACTTCAAGTGAATTCATTTTGGAAAATTGGAAAATAAATTAAAATACTTTTTAGGATAGCTGTATACTTGAGGTGTTTCTTGTCGTGAATTTTTTGTATCAACTTTGCCTTATCCCATTCCGCTATAACTTCTGGAGGGTCTGCTAGAATGTATGTTGCTAGCGCTGTGACTGGCTGCTCATTTCTTATAACATTGGATGTTCAGCACCACTTTCCTGTAAGCCTAGAAGTTTGACAATGCTGTTTGCAATAGAATAAACTTTTTATCATACAGGCGTTAATTACCAATGACTGTCGTCAGACTGACAAGCGCTTTCGATGCTAATTATTTTCGTCTTCTTCAGGTTGTTAAAATGGTTAAATTTCTTTTTTTGATTACAAATAACTGACTGTTTCAAGCAACGTTTTGGAATGGAAGCAACAGTAGAACATAAAATAATTTTCAAACAAAAACACGCGCAGTTGTAATGCGCATGTGTTATGTGCCTCCAAATTGCGGAGCTAGATATGTTGGTTTAGAGAATTATACAAACTGATCCACAAAGGGGGCAAATCAAGTGTGGGATCCACAAAGGGGTCAAATCAAGTGTGGGAGTGTTACAGGGATTTAGTATGTTGGTAAGGAGGGCCTCTCAAATATATATAATATTTCTGTTATTGCACTGTCTTATTATGGCCACCTCATCTTACAACGGGGTATGTTGGTGTTGTAACACCATTCTAGCAAGCTCAGTTTCATTTTTGCCTTCCCTAATAGAATACTGATGTTCCGTAATACGACACGACAACATTCTAGTTGTCTCGCCAATATAATGAGTGCGATCACCTGACATATTTTCTAATGGGATAGAATAAATCCCCGATCTTTCTAGAATGGAACTAGGATCCCTGTCATTGGACAGCAACCTTCTAAGATTTGGCTGTGGGGAAATTGGCAAAAATAGGGTATGCTGCTTAAAAATATGGCAAATATGAAGAGTGACATGACCACAAAATGGTATTGCGGGAAGGGCTATTGTGGATTCTTTTGGGAGATGCAGTGTAGTAGGAGGAAAAAGCGATCTTTTTACTTTGTTTAAGATGTAGATAAATTTAGCACTATTGTAGCCCGCCTCATTTACTGCACAGCGAATGTTATTAAGTTCGGTATCGATAGCAGCTTGACTGGAAGATAAAAGAAAGGCCCCCCTAATTAAAGGTGCGATTGCCGCATTGATGTAATGTTGTGTCTGGTATGCTGTAGCGGGGATTAGGGGAGGTACAGCATTCCTGTGCTGTACCTCCCCTGGCTGAATGTCCAACGTACACATTTTCACATTTAAAACTTCAGCCTCAACCTCGCTACTTTCCACCGTCTCTGGGCTTGTATGACCATCACCCATACCTCATATATGGCAGCTGTCTGGGCCCTCTCTGGTTGGATTTTGTATCTGCCATTAGTCACCTTCAAAATAAAACATGGCATAAGTTAATGCATACAAGTGTATCAAAAGAAATTGTATATAACATTAATCTTATGCTATATGTGCATTTGAAAATAAGCAGTGAGTTACCATTCATTCTGCCTAACAAAATGAAACGTAGCTCAAATCTCTGTGAAACATGGTAGAATCAACAAGCTTATTAAGTCAGGTGGAAGTTAATCGTGTTTTAAAATAAAATTGAAGTAATTGTATACAAAAATTCTTATGTATTCATAATTTATTATATTAATAATAATAATTTTAGTTATATGGAATCCTAAGAAAATTTTAATCATATTAAAATGATTTCAGGACAGTACAAAAATTTCTCCTTCAACTCGAAATGTATATTTTTGTGATAAATAATAATTTATTCTTTTCAAATAACAATATTCTCTGTTCTTTTTAGGAAAATCATGGGATTGTTCCTCACTCAAATTTCTCTAAACCGGCTTGTAGCAAAGAAAGTAACGAAAATATTAAAGGTATGTACCATTTTAGATGTGATGTATGTAGACTATGCATTGCTAATAAGAGGGTACTCAAATCAGTCTTCTTGAATGTACTGCTTTCGATCAGTTATTTCATTCAGAAATTATGTATTTGAATTTATGTATTTAGAACCTTTATTGTTGGCTACAAAACAGGGTTGTCCAAAGGTCAGTTAACGGTTTAAAAGTAATTTTAGATGCAGTTTACTTCCTAACAAAGTTTACAAAACTTTGTTAGGAAGTAAACTTATTGTTAATGAGGCATTCTAATGTATAGTTACATGTTTTCTGATATAAAATTGAGTTGCTGTCCAAACATGCAAAAGCTTTTGCTTCAGGTAACTAGTTTTGAACTACTGAAGACTTGCATGTGTGCACATTGTATTTCCTATACAGTCAAATCTTTGGGTTTTGGTTGCTAACTTTCTGAACAAATTAGTTTGTGAACAGAATTTTGAATGTGTAATTGCTCTGGTTGCCGAATGAGCTACTCGGTAAGAGCTGGCCACAGATTAGAGAGAGACAGATGGTTAACTCTCTATACCTCCTATGTTAAAGATAGCCAATGGCCTAACAAATCAATGACAGGATTATTCATGTAATGTATTCAAAATCACTATAATCTTAATAGGATGATTTTTCTCACAGACCAAGCTACCAAGTTAGATGACACAAGACTTTACTGTAGTAAACTTTTGAAGCATACTTTTACATCAAATGCATTTTGGGCTAATATAACTTTATAGCCCCTCTCCAGTGCTATTAAAAGCAAAGTTATAATAATAAGTCATGACATTGTTGTGATAAGTTATAATATTTTACTACATAATTTTCATATTTACTTACATGCATGAGAACATAGAAACAATTTGAAACTCTGGTACACATTTTCTAGTACAGTCGACCCCCTATAACACGGGTTCATATAGTTCGGATTCCTATATGATGGCAAAAAAATTGTGACCGTATTCGTACAAATATGCTAAAAAAAACTCGTATAATTCGATAACACGTCATCACCGACTTGTGTCACGACAGGATTGGTCAAATCTGGACCAATAGTGGACAAGCATCCAAACTACTTTCCACCGTTCAGCGCCACACTACAGAGAGTTTAGGCGGGTAAGTTGAGTTTACTATCGTCTGTACAGTATATAAATTAGGTACTTAAATTAAACAAAATTAACAAATTAATTAATAAATTAATAAATATATATTAATAATAATATTAAATAAAATTAATAAATTAAACAAGTTTAATACAATACGGTAGACCCCCCCTATAATGCAAGTTCATATAATGCGGATTTGTATATCGTGGCAAAATAATTGCAACCGTATTTGTATAAAGATGCTAACAGAGACTCGTAAAATGCGGTAAAATGTCATTGCCGACTCGTGTCATGACGGGATTGGTCGAATCTGGACCAATAGTGGATGAGCAGCCGAACTACTTACACGCTACAGAGAGTTTAGGCAGTAACTTGAGTTTACTATTGTCTGTACAGTATGTAAATTAGGTACCGTAAGTCTAATACAGTACTGTAATTTTATACATTTTTTGTGAAAAAACATTTCTTATTCAACGGCCATAAAAATTATTTATATTAATGATGTCTCCAAAGTTCAACGAATTTTTCACAAAAAAATAACTTATCAGAAAATGTACCCGTCGTTTGGTGCACTACACCACGACGAAAACAAGTTTAAGCAATGGCATCATCAAACGGTGCACACTCGGTAAGTAATCCTACAATATTTTGTTTATAGCATAGTTTATACGGATTATTCCCAAAAAAATTGTGTGTGTTTTGGAATGTTGAGTCAAATTAGTCTAGAATTGATTAATTTTATGAAAGAAAACCTTACAAACAGCTGTAGTCTGTAAATTGCACACATGCCGGGCTGTGATTGGCTCATGTATTTAAGGATTCCTACAATGCGAAATTTGTATAAAGTGGAACGTATCTACCATGTTATAGGGGGTCGACTGTACTGTGATTTTATAATTTTTACATTATCTAAAATTTTGTCTTTAGTCATCACGACCTCTGCCATGGAGAAGAATTCTAAGAGAAAATGTATATCCCTTGAAGAAAAAATTAAAATTTTGGATCGGTTAAAATTTGGTGAGAAAATAAAAGTCATTGCTAAAGATTTAAAATTAAAGAAGGCAACAATTCGATCAATAAAAAGAAATGAAAACAAAATAAGGGCTAGAATTTCCTCTGGATCTTTAGCAAGTTTGGATAAAACTGCTCGTATAAAGGACACTTTAATGCCTAAAATGGAAAAGTGTTTGATGTTATGGATGGAAGATTGCTTTTCAAAGAATTTTCCTTTGAATAATAATGTGATAATGCAAAAGGCAACAAAGATTTACCAGCATTTAAAAGAGCTTGAATCCGTTTCTTTTAATGAATCACATCAATATGAATTTAAAGCCAGTAAAGGTTGGTTTAGAAGATTTAGGAATCGATTTTCTTTGTGCAATGTCAAAGATGGGGGACAAAGCGCATCAGCCAACATAGAAGCAGCCAAGAGATTCCAAAAGAATTTTCTCAAAATTGTAGAAGATGGAAATTACACTGCAGATCAGGTATATAACGCCGACGAAACCTCGTTATATTGGAAGAAAATGCCCAGACGCACTTACATCTCAAAAAATATAAAGTCTGATTCAGGATTTAAGGTTTCCAAGGATAGGATCACTTTACTTTTATGTTCAAACGCNATTTTAATTATTTGAATGTAAAAAATTGTTTACTAATGTAGTCATATATTTTTACTGAGAAAAATACAGGGTCGGAATTAAATTTTTAGCAGAAAAGATATTACAGGGAATCTGCAAATATTAGATTCCCTGATCAGACCAACCAGGAGTAAGATTGACAGACCCTGTAAATATTGGAGAGTCTGTCGGTCTTACTCCTTTTGTTTGATCCAAACACATTTTTAAATTTGGCTCGGTATAAGGAGGTTTACGAAAACTGCAGCAACCAAACAAATGTTAAGATTTGTCACACTTATATCTCGTAAACTATAAATGATGATCTAACAATTGTAAATCTTCTATCCAACAAAATTTAATCCTTATTTAAAATGGTGGGTAATGGGGGGGTGCAGATGTGCAGGGGAGGGATAGTGGTTGCATATGAACACTGAAAATGGCAACATGGTGTTGCATTTGGGCATTGAAACGTTGGTTACGAAGAGATAGGACATTGAAATTGGTGTTGATTTGTATAGAATGACAGGATCTATAATATTATTTAGAAATAATAACAAAAAAAAAAATAGAATTTGTAAACTTATGAGCCAATAATTGTGTGAGTTGAAGAAATTTTCATAGCGTTAAAGAAATTTCAAAGGAAATATGAACAGAAATGTATATCATCGGAAAGAAAAATTTTAAAGGAATCAGAAAAGCCCAAGATGACTAATGCTGACAAGGCAATTGTGTGTAGTGTGTAAGAAAACCAATTGTGTCAACTTCAATGTGAATATTTTGAGTGTGCCACTGCCTAAAATGATAGATATTGACTTGAAATGTGATAACCAGCAAGACTCTATTCATTTACATCTTATTTTTCCTCTAATAACACAAAGATGGATTCTTGCTTTAAACAATTGCAATTGTGTTCTGTACACAACCCTCTCAATTTTTTGACTTGCGTGACATTTGGTTAACTCATTGCAGTCAGTTGATGTGGGGACAAAGAGCTGTCAGTCAACTTAATGATATTGTGTACGGGACATTTTGGACCATGTGGTGGACTTTATGGAATTTATGTATTTATACTTGTTCTTTTCTGCTGGCTCAGGGGTCGGCAACCTTTTGAGTCGGAAGAGCCAAAAATTACAATTTACAAAATTTCAAAGTTTTTAAAGAGCCACAAAATTTTTTCTTGCCAACAATAAATAGTACTCGCATAAATAAAGTTTTTTGATTAAAAAAAACTAATCTATTTATTCAGAATTGTCTTGCATCGAAAGCGAATTAAACCTCATAGAAACATCTGACGACGGCATCATTCGAGAGCTTCCGACGGACTGACGACAGTGATGACGCGTGTCACGGGGGAGGGGTGCGATGAAAAGCGAGTACAAGTGGCTGAGAGATAGAATCGGTGCCGAATCCTCGTTAATCGATTCAGAACAATTTTTAAATGTTTTTTTTTTTTTTTGATAAAATAAATAATATTTGCATATGGAACTAAAGAGCCGCAGCTTCACATCCAAAGAGCCGCAGGTTGCCGACCCCTGTGCTGGCTACATACAGTATGTGGAAATCATCAATCTGTCAAAATTGACAGGATTATTATTTGCGTTAGGTCTTTTCTCTAACTGCAAATTTCAATTATTGCTTATCCAAAACATTAAAGCACGATAACTAACAATGCATTCACATATTAAGAATTGCATATACAAATTTCATTAATACATCAATAAACAATGATATATATGCACTAATATGTATTAGTATATAATTCAAAATGTTATATATAATGTTTTCAATTTTTGGTTATTAAAAAAAATTCATAGACAACTAGAGGATAAATAAATGGATGTACAGTGTATATATATGTGTGTGTGTGTGTATGTATGTATATATATACACATATATATTTATTTATTTTATTATCTGGCATTACTCAGAAGAAACTCCCAGAAGGGGGTGCAATGGTCTCCTGTGCACTCCCTAAATTCACCTCCTAAGTATATGATTAAAAAACATAAATAAAAAATAAATACAGGTAACCCCCGTATAACACGGCACTTCTATAGCACGGATTCGCTCTAACACGGTTCGAATTGGTACCATCCCCCGTATAACACGGTACTTTTATAGCACGGATTCACTCTGACACGGTTCGAGAATTGGGTAAAACCCTCGTACAACAGGAAATGTAATAAATTTTTACATACTTAAGTAATAATAGTTCACGAAAATTATTATTTTCGTGAACTATTAGTACTTAAGTATGTAAATTTTCTCTTCTCGCCTTCTGTCGATACACGTGGTCCTTCTCGAAACTTGTTTCAATGTTGCCAGATCGCGACGCTTCTGCTTCTGATGTTGCCGAATGTTTTTCCCTTATTCCATACTTGCTTTATTCTTCATAAGTGCTTAGCACCATATAAGGAAATTTATAAAGACCTTTTAACTAGAAGCAAGCAATCTAAAATTACATACATTTTGCAAAAGGTAAAGCATGGATCTGAAGATAATGCAGAAAAATGCTCAGAGGATAAGGATAACTTGCCAAAAAAAAAACGCTCTCGGTTAATTAATAGTGTTTTTAGTGATGACGAAGAAAACATTGTTTAATTTATATTAATATGTATCACTTAAAAATTTTAATGAAGATATTTATCTTAATTATTAAAATATACTAGCATGATTTTTAATTTTTGGAACCTAACCCTCCTTTTCGTATTAGTTCTTTGTTTCGTATAACACCGATTCGCATAACACGGCAATTTTTTGGAACGTAACTACCGTGTTATACGGGGGTTACCTGTACATATAGATATAATTAATATGTAAATAACTTAGTAGACACATAGGATATTCGAACAAAACAACATGTACCTCAGAAATCTTTAAACTATTCTTTACCTGAAGGACCCTGAGGGGTCTTAAAACATTTGTATTGTTAAATTTTAGTTTGCATCGGCTAAAGGTTTCTGAGGTACGTGTTGTTTAGTAAACTCCGGTGTGTAGTTATTTGTTATTATTCAAACAAAGTTAAATAATGTACTATTTCAAATGTCATTTATGAAATTTATGAAGCAGCAGTAATTTTCTTCTAGTAGTTGTCATTTTATGATAGATTGTAACAGTATTTTCTGCTCTTACTCTCTGATGTTTACTTGAAAATGATTTAGAAATAGCTTAGAGAAGTAGGAATTGAAGGATTAGTTTTAAGTTTTATTTTTGAAAATGCAACTAGAAAATTGTTGTATTATTAAATTATACAATAATTTGAACGTTTTGCTATTCTCTGTGAAATTCATATTTAAATTAGTGTTTAAAATAATTTGAATTATATTTTTATGTAAATGTGAATAATTAAAAACTAATACTGTAAGTATCACATTTTGAAAATGAAACTCGGGTAAATGGAAAACTCAAGTAACATGTAATAATTTATTAGAATTATAGATTTATGGAATTTTTTATTTCAGGAATTTCTTACATATTAATTATATCTATATATATTTATTTTTTATTTGCTTTTTAATTATATACTTATAGAGGTGAAATGCATGTTTTTTTAAAGTCTCACAATATCAATTTGTGGAGACTTTTGAAGTCATGTTGTGGACAATATACTGAGTTTAAATAATGTGATTTTTGGATTTGATATCATCATAAGACCATTTTTAATTAAGAATCAAATACAGAAAATAAAGAATGGATTTCCCCCCTCACTTTGAAGGTTCTAGGTCAATGTTGAAAAAATGGCTGTAAATTTAAACATTCAGGAAGACAAAATATTGTTTTTGATGCTTTGGATTCTGTATGGAAGCTGAACACTTGCAACAGTAGTTGCTTGTATAGTGATTGAATCTAAGATACATATGCACAGTGATTTTGTAGGTACAGATACAATGATTTAATTCAGTGTCTATTTTGAGTTTTTGAAATTGTATTATAACAGAAATGCATAAAATGAGATTGTATACAATAAGGGATACCCGTATTTAATTGAATAATAGTTAAAAAAAATTTCATTTTAATTTAATATATTTCAAACTAAATTTAACTTTGAAAAAGTTAATGTTTAATTTCAATTCTAATTATTAAAACATAAGTATTTTATTTTAAAATATATATTAAAATGAGTTAATTATATTATTATAACATCAGAATAAATATTAAGAAAACTAATATATTTATAAAATATTATAGACCAAGAGATAAAAGAGGTGGCCCTTCTTGTCTTGTTTTTGCACCCACAAGAGAATTAGCACAGCAGATTGAAAGAGAATGTAAAAAATATGAATATAAAGGAATTAAATGGTAAGTTTTTCTGTTGTGATAATGAAGTAATGATATTCTAAAAGATTTGAATCAAATTCTTAAAATTTTGTATTTTAATAAATTTTATAATTCAGTTTAAAAAATTTTAAAGTTTATTAAAGTAGAAGTTAATTACATTAAAGTTTGATTCAATTTAATTAACAACAGAAATCCTGTTCAATCTGTGTTTAGAATTTAATTAAAAATTTGATTTTTACACAGAGATAATATATTTTATATATTTTCTAATTATATATGCTACATATACTTTTTGCTATTACATGTTCCTAATACAAATTTGGTATTTTTGTAATCCATCATATTCTTCACTATGTGATGACCATGTTAAAACACAGTATGGCCACCAACATGTACTGTACCTTTCACTAGTGGGCACCTCTAAATATCAGACAAACTTTTCAATCCCAATGGTGTCTGCTATTCAGAGGTTATACTGTATTAAATTTAAATCTTTCAAAAAACTAAGTACAATGTTTTAATTAAATATGAAGGAGGTAAGTTTTTGTGAGTAAATTAGTCAAACTTCCTATATGGAACATGTGCAGAAAAGATTCTTTTCAGTTCAGCCAACAATGTGAGTAAAACAGCAAAATATAATGCTGAATTGCTAACAATGACATGTATAGGAGTTTGGACCTTAAATGTTGAAATGTTACATCAGTACAACATAGTGTCAAAACAAACTAAAACAGCAATTGATCACAGATAAATTCTAGTTATATTTTAATTACATTGAAACCAACTAGTTAGAGTTTGATATCAGTTGGGAACAAAACATTACTATCAACTTTGATGCTAAATTTATAATCTGTATATTAATTGAAAGAGGGTTTTAGTTTTGCAACTTTTAGTTTGAATAAGTTTCTGGGCTAAAAATAAATTCAGGTATCAAATTAAAGTTCTTATCCTGTAGATGGTGCTACTGAAGAGAGATTTGAGAAAGTGCAATGGTTCAGGTTTGGCAGAGTAGCAAAGATACGATGTTAAGTCTCTGGAACAAATATGCTTAGTAATTGTTCGGTATTTGCACCCAAAGTGTGTGTCATAACATAAAGGAATAAATAAATTGTTCTAAGCAAAGGAGAAAAATCATCATAAGACAAAAATCTAAATAGAATAACTCATACTTTCAAATTTCAACAAAAGCATAAAAGAATTACTAACAAAGAGTGAGTTCAGTGAGGATTAATTTGCTATTTAGAAATGACTGCTTCCTACAGAGTAAGTGTTTTTAATATTATAAAACAGCAAATATGACTAAAAACACAATTAAGAAACAATGACACAAATAATAGCAGCAAGACAATCATGATCTTTATTGCATGCTATTCTCCTACCTAAAACAAATTCAAACTTTCCACCAGTGGGAAAAAGAATGAATCATTCGCCAGCACTAAAACCTAGCCTGTGGAGTAAAACCAATTTCATATTTACATATTAATTGAAAGAGGGTTTTAGATTTTGAACTTAGTTTGAACTAACAATACAGTTCAGATATCAAATGAACATGCTTACACTGTAAATGATGCTGCTGAAGAAAGATTTAAGAAAGGTGCAATGCTTCAGGTGACAAGAGTTTATCTCTTCAGTAAACATTAGTTCTAAATTGTGCCACTACAGCAAACAGCACCAATCACAGCAACTGGATTTGTCTGTTTCAGCGTTTTGTTGTCTTTGTTGAAAATGGAAAGCAGTATATGCAATTTAAAGTACAAATATAAGCAAAGTTTAAGCAGACATATGAGACATAAGAGAAGCATAAAAAGGACTATAATAGGAATAATGAAGTTATAAATTATTTAAATATAGTTTGTGTTTAGGTGAATTTCATAAAAAAGAAGTATTGTTACACTGTAGAGAGCTATGTGATATTACTATATCTAATTATAATTAGACATTTAATTCATTTAGTGATTTTAAGGAATGGAAACAAATATGAAGTGGAAAATACCGTTAAGTACATTATAATGAGTGGTTCAGAAATGAACATTAAGCCTAATAGTTCTACATATAACTGTCATAGATCATAAATTTTAAGTCTGTTTTATTTTATTCATAATTCCATCTCATAATTTTACAATATTAATTTTTTATAGATTAATTCATTTTTAAGCAAGGTGTCTATTCATAAATTTATTTTATTTTCACTTTTAACTAATAATTTCAAACAAAGCATTTATAATTTATAATCATGAATTGAAAACACAAGTATTGTATTGGTATATTTTAAATCACACTCACTTCATTCCATTTCATTTAACATGTACTGTCAACATTGTTGAACTCTAAACAAATGATAAGGCTTGTAACTATGGCCCAAAACTGACAAATTAAGTTGCTGCGATTGGCACTGTTTGCTGAAGCGGCATAATTTAAAACTAATGTTTACCAGAGAGCTAGACTCTTGAGTTCAGGTGTGGTGGAGTGGCAAAGATAGAATTTTAATTCTATGTGAAGGCAAGTGACAAACATATCAGGCACTTGCACACCATATGGCAATTTACTTTTTATTAACCATTTGAACAATCTGTTGCTCACCACTACTGTAAATCCCTGAGCTTTGTTTGCTAATTATGCATAAATTAAAAGACATTTTCCATTATTTTTTCAATAAATTAATTTTGTCAATATTGACTACAGTGTTTCCATCTTTTAACACCAACCTTTCTTATTTTACTATTACTTAATGATGAGAACAAAATGTGATTTTAACTGTTCAGTTCATTACTTAATGCCAATTGATGGCTTTCTCGACAAATTACCAACTAAAAGAATAAACCTGAACATACAACTGTTGATAGGTTGAAAGGTTTATAACAGCCAATGAGATTGCTGAGGCAGCTGACACTACCCTCACCATTATCTGAAACCTCACCAGTGATACCTTGTGACCCAGATGCAAAATTGAAACAAGTCATTTAGAGAGGATTGGTGAGACAGCCTTGTGGTACCAAAGTACAGATAGATACAAATCACCTGCAAATGGCTTGGAAAACACTTGCTGTGCTGATGATTTTTGTATAGAATGCCAAATTTTAAATGAGCTCATTGTGTTTTAATGCAATAAAATATGCTATCAATTTAGATAGGTTCCTGTTAGTCTATATAATAATTGAAAGAGTATTTCAGTATGTCTAACTTAGAGTAGATGGCTGGGGCTAAAAGCATGGTTTAAGTATCAAATTAAAGCTCTTATCCTGTAGATGCTGCTGCTGAGAGATTTGAGAAACGGGCAATGGTTCAGGTATGGCAAAGTTACAAAGATAAAATGTTAAGTCTATGGGACAAACATATTAACCTTATCCTTAGGAATTTTTTTGTTTTGCAGTTTCATTATTGTTAATACTGAGGTTAATAAATGTATATTTTAATTACTAAGATTGCTTTTATCACTCTCTCCTAAACTTAATTTCAATCCCCCATCTCCTCAAAAGCCCGAGCAACATCAGCACATTCAGCTAGTTAGTTAATAACTTAACAGCATTTATTCATTTCTTATTATTTGTATTGATATGTTAACAAAAATATAACTACAGTAGAGTGTCGATTTTCCGAATACAAAGATTGAAGCGCCACAGCACTGGCAAAAATTTAAATTTGCCGACTGGAATTCTTTCGGATGATTGACTTTCGGAAAATCGACGCTCTACTGTACTTTAAACCAGTAACATAACTGGAGGGAAACTAGGTTAACCCAGTCATTCTCAAATATCTTGTAAACAGTTGTATGCAGTACATAGAAATAAATTCAACATTGATTGATTATATATGTAGAAAGTTTTAAAATTTTATATTAATTATATAGAGGACTAGATTCAAAGTTATTGCATTTAAACATAAGTGTAAACTGCTTTGTATAAAAAATATATTCAGCAGTAATCTTTCTTCTATTCTCCCCAGTGTTTGAATCTAGATGAATGAAAGAACTGACAAACCTTTCAAATAAAATTTTTTATGAATTATTCAGCAAATGAATTTTATTAAATAAAAGATGTTTTATAATTTTATTGCTTTTAGTTTTTTATAATAGAATTTATGGCACTGTAGAAGAATGATCACCCAAAATGCATTTGCCTGAATAATTAATAAGAAAGATTTAATGGAAAGGATTGTCAGTTGATTTTTACAATTAAATGCAATAACTACAGAATTTTATTGAATGCATAATTTTATTTATAATTGACTTTATTGCATACATCCTACATGAAACATTATTCTAATATGTTAAAGCCAAACAGTTGCTGGAGTAAATTGGGCTATTTTTACTGCTGAGTAATTTAGCACATTAGTATTTTAAAGATATTAAATTTAATAATAATCATTAAATTTAATAACAGATGGCACATAACATCTATTTCTAGTGTCAAATTACTCAGTATTTAATTGTTAATAGTAGCAGTAAAATAACCTGATTAAACTTTTTAACTTTATAACAAGAGTTTGTGTGAACTTGTGTCAACTTTGGGTTCAGAGATGTCTATATATTCACTGTGATCAAATAATATCACAAAACACATTGTTATGACATAATTTTCAAAGCCCTTGTTTGCTGGTTGTCATGTGTTTATGTTTATCCCTTCTCACTTGAAAAATGTGATTATAATAGATGTTAGTAAGATTTGCTCACAGATAGAAATAAAATACATATGCATTCCATCTTATAAATTATAATATATACCTTGTGTTATTGGTGCTTTTAACATGCATAATGCATATTTCAGGCATTTTTATCTTCATGCACTGCAATTTTAAATGCATATAAATCTGGCCCTTGGTTATGAAATTTCTCATTTATGCTGAATAAAAAATTCAGATGATAATTATTACAAAATGTAAAAAAAACACTAACAAAGTTTTATTTTCAATACATTTTGTAAGTTTTAATGTTGTTGATTGATCTTAAGATTATATAAACATATTAACTTGCAGCTTGAAATAATATCACAGTTAGTGTTCTTTTATTTTTCATATTTTCATTTTTACTTTTAAATTTCCATGTTAATTCTTTTTCTTGTATATTACATTAATTACACTCTCTATCAATAGAAATTTTGTTTATATCAATACATTAAAATGTTAGTGTATTTTTTAACATTTTGTACATTTAACAATACCGATAATTTTGTATTTTGCTACAAACACATTTATATGAACAATATACTCCTAATTATCCAGTCTAATCACTTGTAATGGAGGCACAGATTATGCAGAAACACTGATAATCCACAAGTCTGTTTTAATGAAAGCTAATAAATTTTTCTTCTATTCAGTTTTTAATTTTATATTAAATTTAACATAATAGTTTGTATATATATTATGAATAAAATGTTTTGAGAGTGATGATTAGATATGATTAGTTGAATGTAAACAGAAAATTCAGAAAAATTTCTTGAACTAGCACTTTGCAGTTCACTATCAATTTCTTGTATTATTAACTTAGAATAACAGGTTGCCACCTAGATATCATCATAAAACATCATTAAGTTTGCAATATCAAGGAAATGATTCAAAAATTTTTTTTTTCAGTTTTACAACTTAATGAAAAAAAATACACTAAGCCTATATATATATATAGTAAAGCCTTATTATTCAAGAATCATCTGCACATACTATACTTGTTAGGCCATTTAATTTAATCCTTGACATTCTGGAAGTACTTCTGGTGCTCACCATACCATTTTAATTAGAGTTAATAATAAAGATTTTTTTAAATTTTAATGCTAATATTTGTATTCTGATTTCTAAATTTTTTTTGAGATGTAAGCATGCATGGATAACTGAGAGTATACTATATGTTATATATAATAACTTTTTCAACTATTTATAAAGTTCAGCTATTAGATTTTAATGTGTTATTTCAAGAGGGTATAAATAAATAAAATACTGATAATTTGCTATAAATATAGTTCTCATTATGATGATTTTAAATAATTTTCATTTTTAATATTATATTATTGTTTTAAAAATATTTTTTAAATTAATTTTTATTTTTAAAATTTTAATATTAAATATCTTTTTATCAGTGTGTGTTTATATGGTGGAGGAAACAGAAGAGAACAAATAAATTGTGTTGAAAAAGGTGTGGAAATAGTTATAGCTACCCCAGGACGCTTGAATGACTTAGTCATGAATAATTTTCTTGATGTCACTTGTGTCACTTATTTGGTATGAAATTGTTTTTAAAAATATTAATATAATATTACAATTTAAATTTTTTATTTATTAGTTATAATTGAATTATTAATGATTTTTTTTTTAGTTAATGTTTTGCATTAGCAGTTAGTTTAAAAAGTAGTTTCTGTAATGAACTTTACTGAAATAAATATTTTTGTCATTGTTACAGGAATAAAATGTATATATTAAAGAATAGAATACTTTAATTTAGATATTTTTAATAAGTTTATTTGCATTGGAGTGATATAATTTTTTTCAGTTTTAACTTTATAACAAGAGTTTGTGTGAAGGAACACAATTGGATTAGTATGATTTTTGAAGTTATTTTAATAAAAAAGAATATTAAAATTATTAAAATAATTATGTATAGTTTAAATTAATATAAAAATTAACTTTTTTTTATTAATAAAAAGAATTTTTATTTTGTGTGTTGTTTTCATTCTACTTTAAAGTGTGAAAGGATATTATAGAATTAAAGGTAAAAAAATATCTCAAAATTAAAATACTCTCATTGCCCTAAAAATTAGCACACCAAGGAGGAGTTGTTGGAATCTAAAGAAATTGTACATGTATGAGAGTAACAGCGATATAAGTGAGTGATTACAAAATGAAAGCAAAATAATTGTTTATTGCAAGAAAGTCTACGAATGAAAGAAAATTCTAGTACCATGTTGGGCCACCTCTAGCATGAATACTTGTGATAGAGGCATACAGGTGCTGTATGGTGTCCTGCAGCATCTTGGCCCACAGTTGCTGCAAGTGGTCCTCTAGTTTGGCCAAACCCTTAGGCTGTCCAACTTGGTGTCTCAGGTGATTCCAGACATGTTCAGTCAGTGATAAATTGGGACCTTGGCAGGTCAGGGAAGTGTGGCAATGTGGCAGAGGCAGTCCTGTGACAGCCTTGCTGTGTGTAGTTAAGCATTGTCCTGTTGGAAAATGGCTGTTGGGAGCCCTTCCACGAGAGGCAACAAGTAGTTGCAGGATGTCACTAACATATTGCTGAGCTGTCATGGTTCCTTGGATTACTACTAGAGGTGACTGGCTATCATGTATGATATCATCTTGAACCAACAACACACCATCTGTGGGGTGATGTGCCACTCCAAAGTGTAGGCAAGATCGAGGTGTTTACTATGGGGCCTTTCAGACAAACATGGCCAAACATGGTTGTTAGTGCCCAAACTGAATCTGGATTCATCACTGTAGACAATCCAGCTCCATTCCATTCCCATCAGGAGCCATCACTACTTCAAACAGAGGCAATGGTGAGTGACTGTCAATATCAGCACATGTAATGGCTGCCATGATACCAATTGTTCCTTACCTAGCACCACGAAATGGTATGGACCAGGGATGTCCAGTCTGCAGGCCACACTGCAACCCACTTAATATTTTTGTGGCTCACTGCGCCCTAAATTTTTTAGATACATTTTCATTTATTTTGGAAAAGTATGTTGTACACTGGATACACTTTGATGTCAGAATGACAGTACAGTTTTCTAGCACCAATTATATCTCACATGCATAACATACTGTTGTGAACAATTCTTTTCGTACATCAAAACTGCTGAAAGAAATAGGTTGAGTAATTCCTATTTAACTAACTTAGAATTAAGACTAGTACCATAAAAGTAGATATTGACAATATTGTAAAAGGAAGGCAATGTCAAAAATGGCATTGAATGTATTTTTATTTTGTGTGAATATAATTTCTTCTTTTACTGTCAATAATACAGTATTTTTTATAATTATACAGTAGACCTCCCCTATAACGCGGGTTCATATAATGCGGATTCGTATATCGCGGTGAAAAAATTGTGACTGTATTCGTATAAAGACACTAAAAGAGACTCGTAAAATGTGGTAAAACGTCATCGCTGACTCGTGTTGCGACAGGATTTGTCGAATCTGGAATAGTGAACAAACAGCCGAATTACTTACACGCTACAGAGAGTTTAGGCGGGTAAGTTGAGTTTACTATCGTCTGTACAGTATATAAATTAGGTACTGTAAATCTAATACAGTACTGTAATTTTATACATTTCTTGTGAAAAAAACATTTCTTTTTCAACGGCCACAAAAATTATTTCTATTAATGATGTCTCCAAAGTTCAACAAATTTTTCACAGAAAAATAACTTATCAGAAAACACGCCTGCCATTTGGTGCGCTGCTCCGCGACAAAAACAAGCTTAAACAATGGCATCGTCTAACAGTGTACACTCAGTAAGTAATCCTACAATTTTTTGTTTATAGCATAGTTTATACGGATTATTCCCAAAAAATTTTACATGTTTTGGAAATGTTGAGTCGAATTAGTCTAGAATTGATTAATTTTATGGAAGAAAACCTTTCAAACAGCCGTAGTCCGTAAACTGCACACATGCTGGGCTGGGCTGTGATTGGCTCATGTATTTAAGGATTCCTACAACAGGAAATTTATATAAAGTGGAACGTATCTACCGCGTTATAGGGGGGCCGACTTTATATATTTGTTATTAAAATTTAATATTCACATTATGAATTTTTTAAAAGCATATATTTATATAAAGTTCCTTTTGTGGTGTGCCGAATATACCTAAATTTTTAATTTGGCCCATTAAGAAAAAAGGTTGGACAACCCTGGTATGGACAGACAGAGGCCTGTAATGATGGCACCACCTGTGTTTGAATGGTGGACAGTGATACAGTTGGCTGTATGTATGTGTTGGAGGACCATGTAGTCTTCTTGACTAGTGGTCTGCCGAGGGATTCCTGAGCCTGGGCACTGTCTATGAGCTCTCTCATCTACTGATCCCAATACCACCTCAGTGTCAGAACAGCCTGGGTGACAGGCTATTCAGTGATATGACAATCCAGCTTCTCTCAACCTGATGATCCTTCTCCCTCTGAACTCATTTATTTGTTCATATGGTCTTTGATTACAATGTAAAGGCATCTCTAGTGATACAGTGTACCTCTGCAACAGGTTAACTGCAGGTGGGGTGCTTTTTTTATAGATCAAGAGGGGGACAGTTTAACACCCTCTGCTGTTATTACACAATGACCCATCATGTTATAACTCTAATAATTTCCATATCTGCTTGACTTATCTGTATGCCAAGTTTTGCAATGATACAACTCCTCCTTGGTATGCTAATTTTTATGGCAATGAATGTATTTCAATGATAGACAATATAAAAACGTATAGTCAGTTAAAAAAATTTAGAATAATTTAACTCCATCATGAACGGCTAACCCTTGAATGATAACTAGGTGAAATAAAAATTATGAAAGAATAAAGGGTATATTTAGCCTGATCTTTTAGCTGTGTTTTATTTTTAATAATATCTAAAAGTGTTAAAAGGTATAATTTTTTACTTAAGTGAATGCTAAAAAAATTTAGAATATTTGAAATCATTAAAATATATATTGAAGAACACAAAAATTTGTCTTCAAAATCACCAGTTACAAACCAACAAAACACAATAATGAACTCATGTGAAGACAAATTTTTATTCAGTAGATTTATAATATGTAAATTACTGCCAGCCATTTTTTATGAACTACTTGAAATCATGTTCAAAAAGTTTAGAATAACATGAAATAAATTTAATATTTTCCAATTATAATTAATAGTGCTTGTAACTTACTGCAGTTATGTAAATTGTATCACAATATAATTTTCTTATAGTATTGTATAAATTACAATCCAGCAATTATCACAAAAGGTGGATAAACACCATGGACAAGAAGTTACAATAAAGACTGGATCACAAAGCCAAAATTATCACTGTAACATGAGAAAAATATTAAGCAACAAGAAATAGCAAGGAAAGAGTAATTGTTTGCAGTCTACAGTGCAAAAAATAATTTGAAAAATTTAATGAAACTGGAAGTTTAAATTGTAAAATATGCACTGGTTTTCAAAAATTTCTTGAAAAATGACAGAAATTAGTACTTAGAAAAACTGTAAACAAGAGAGACATAAAGGTTGAAACAGATGTCACAAGAATTGAAATCTGTGATTCGAAAACCAGTTTCAAAAACAATGCTTTACAATTATTTGAGGGAGATTGGATAAAAGCAGCCAAACCAAAAAAAATATACCTCATCTGACAAAAGTTTAAAAGAAAAAAGATTATATTGGGTCAAAAAATATATTTTACACCTGAACAATGACAAAAGTATGTTTTGTGTTTTAAACAATGGAGTAAACCTTTGGCACTTGAAATGTGAAACCAACAATCTTGATTGTTTACAAGAAGCTATTAAATTTCCCATAATTCTGTTTATTTCTGTTATGTTCTATCCTGAAGAAGGTTAAATTGAACTTACTTGAAATTTGGCTGTGTTTTGATTTTAAATTCTTTTTAAATTTTGTAATTTGTTCCAAATGGAATGAATCAACAATATATTTTAAAAATCATATTAATATTCTGGAAGACATTTTGTAAATATTGAAAGTACTTGTAGGAACATCTATTTTTAGTTATTAAAAGACTGATAATGCCAAAAGGACTGTTTATTTTTTATTTATTTTATTCTTAACTGAAAGTACTTGAAATTAAACGTGTGTGTGATCATTCTAACAATATCATCATATAAATCTTTTATATTTGTAACTTTTAATTCAAACTGGCTGTGGCTGTCTGTTTTTATTTGTTTACAGTTATCTAAAGTAGCAGTATTTCACCTTACTTTAGATAATCAGATTTCTATTGTAATTGAAATTACAGTACTCTTTCTTCTTTTCCTTTTATTAGAAAAAGCATTCTGTAAATTAAGTTGGGATTCATCTAATATAACACAGAAAAATTAATGATTTCAGGTAATACAATTATGAATATATACAATCAAACTTCAATAATCGCCCCTTAAATGTACCACCTTCACTGACTGCCAAAAAAATGTGAAAGTAGATAAAAACAAGTCAAAATGTGTTATATTTTATTGTAAGATTAACTTAAGATTAACTAAGATGTATAAACTGTTGGTTATAATTTTGATCTGATGTTGGCCTGAAAATGTCAGTGTTTGTTGAAAATTCATTAAATTGGTGCTGGATTTATAAAAATTAAGATTTTTTCCCCTCATTATGAATTGAACATTTTTTTCAGTTTTAAGAAGTTTTGTACTTACCTTTAAACAATGCCTAAAAGAAATAATCTTGCTTTCTACTTACCTTTAAACAATGCCTAAAAGAAATAATCTTGCTTTCTACTTCAATTTTTAATTAAGAGAGATGCCAAAGACAGATGAAAGTTAGCATAAATAGCATGTGACTAAATATTAATTTTAACAGTAAACTATTTTGGAAACCTTTTTAAACATCCATAATATCTCCAGAAGACTAGATTCTAGTGGCCTGACTGAGGTCAAGGAAGGCTTGTTATATGCTCCTAAATGCAAATCAAATGCAAAATGCAAGACACTACCTATACAGCATTGCTACTTGCTTCAGATTTTGCTGCATCCGTAGGAAAGCTGTTTCTCAGTAAAAGGTGGTTTTTATGCAAGATGACAAGTTGTTTGTGTCACTTGAATGCCCTTGCAGAGAAGAACCTGATTGGTGTTAACATGACTATTCATTAGACCATTTTGCTACTATTGATTTCATTTACTGCTAACTTAATCATCAAATTGATTTTTAATTAATATTCATGTGGCGACAGTGTAAAACCTGATATCATCAATACTTGTTAGTGGATGGTTGGAATATTTGGAAATGATAGCTTGATAATATTCTAGCATTGCAGTCATTATCACATAAATCTTACCTACTCATGAGGTAATCTAACAAATGCCAGATATCACATTAAGGTTCCTACAGATAAGTTTTCTTAATATCACTAATGAATGTAGAGTTCCTACATTAAGATGTAGGAACCCTATATTCATTCATTTTTAGCACTCTCCACTATAGTGGTGAAGTGCTTATGTTAGGACTTTTGTCCATCTGTAAGATTTCCATACGCATGTGCAATGACATCACTTTCATTACCTAAGTATTATGTTCTATTCAATCCATTTATTGTGCATGTCAATGTGCAAAAACTACTTGATTCCAAGAATTTATACAATTTATTTTAAACAAAATATTTGATTTGCTTTTGTGGAGCTTTCTATCAGATTGGTTTGACCAAGCTTGTTTCAAAAATGAAAATATGGATTTTTAGAAAAGTAGTAGTTTGGAGTGGTTAATGCAAGGGATGGAATTTCTTAATAAAGGGATGGAATAAAGAACCAGTTTAAATTTAAAAAGAAAAAAGGATTGGGTTAGAGAATATATATTTCTTTTTAGTTTGAAAAGGTGTGAGAAGTTGTGAGTAAATGGAGAAACTAAAGGGTTGATTGTTAGGGATGATTACAGAGTAGGTAATTTGTTTTTGTAGTGGAAAGGAAGCTGTCTGGTAGGAGTGCATTGGGAGTTAGTGAGAAGTGTTGAGACAATATGTGATAGTAATTTTTTTATCTGAAGTGATAGAAAACTTTAGTTGTTATTCTTGAGAATGGGCTGGAAAACCTGAGAACACTAAGCTTTAACAGGAATTTCTTTTAATTTTCCAAGAAAGCAGGTAGCTGTGTGTATTTGAAGAAATTATATAAATAAATTGGTTGACATTATGCTTTAGGTAGATAGACTTACTGGTCTCATTTGTAAACCATCCATATATTCTTCATTAACATTTTTGACTAGTTTTTATAAATTAAGTGTTACTGCTGATTAGATGATTATTGTATCCAAATTGTTTTGCCTTATGCTAGATATAGGTTAGAGTTCTTTGTCACCTATATGGTCATCTTGTTTTCAGAATAGTATATCTGGTTTCTTAGTACAGTGTTAAGTCTTATTTGCAGCATGTTGAATAATTGCAGAGCTTGTCTATCATTGAATGATTAAATAGTTTATTGATGATTTACCATTAAACATTTACATTTAATATATTTTTTATATTGTGTAATTTTCATCTCTCATCCCACTAAATAATCAATGAAATTTTTTTTCTTTCATGTATTGTTACAATATGATATAACACATTTCATATAGAAACTGTATTAAAATCCATTAAAGTATTTTTTGTTTGTTGTTTGATTTTGAATGCTAATATATTGTTATAAAACAAGATAAATTAAAAGATCTCAATTTAAAATATGTTTAGGTGTTAGATGAAGCAGATCGTATGTTGGATATGGGATTTGAACCCCAGATTAAAAAAGTTCTTTTGGATATAAGACCTGACCGACAAACTGTGATGACCAGTGCAACTTGGCCTGAAGGAGTGCGCAGAATGGCAGCACAATATATGACAAAACCATTATTAGTGTTTATTGGTTCATTGGATATTAGAGTATGTATTATTATTATTATTATTAATGTATCTATAAATGTAATTACCAAATTGTTAATGCTTTTAATTTTTATTGAAGTCATTTAGAATATAAATTTTTATATATTTTTTCAAATGAGTTTTACTTTCTCTGTATATACTATATTAAAAAATTAAGTGTAAAATATATATTATAAAATATAGCTTTAAAACAATGCTTCTTATGACATGTTTTTTTTTCAATAGTATCTGCCATAATTTTGCATTAACAAGTCTGCAGAATTGAACATTGTTTAATTTTTAAATGTAGAGCGTTTAGAATTATCTGTTAGTGGCACGTACATATCAAAGCTTCACATAGATCAGTTTATGTGGAACTTTGGAATGTCTCCCAGTGGAATTCGATCAGAGAAGATTCAAATTAGAGTTTGTTAGAATATTACAGAAGGCCTAAGTTGATTTATAAGTAATAAGGATTTCATTATTGATGTACATTTTAGACTCAGCTTAGTAGAATTGATCTACTCTGAAAATAATAAATATTTTTAGTTTATACTCTAGCCATGAAAAACCTAGATTTATTTGATATAAAATGTAGATTAGAAATTACTTCAAAGAAGTTGAATTGAGTCATTAACTTTAAAGATGTAGTAATTTAAATTAGGATTACAAAATTATGGGATTAAAATACAAGGAAAGTCATCTTTTCTGTATTCAGTGACAATTAAATAATTGGCAAATAATGAATCAACAGAACAGTGTGTTCTGAACATAAAATAGTTGTATTTCCTGGTTTCCTGTTACAAATGATTTTCTTTAGTTCAGGGACGAACTATGTATTAATATGCTATGTCCATTTGCTATTTTTATGTATTGATTGTATAAATTTGCATGACCTTGGGAATTCTTTAGGACCAAAAATGGAAAAGATAATGAACCATAACTGTATCTCTTTCAGATATTTGTGATAGCTCTTTACCAAAAATAGTACTAGTGTTTAAGACAATTTGTATGTTTAGTTGTGGCAAAGTAAAATGATTGTTATTACATGATGTTTTTTATTATGTAATGCATATTGAATGAATAATAATACAGTCGATCCCCGTATAAGATCATTGATTATTCCGTTTTATATGAATTCCATGTTGTACAAGTCACTTAAATTTTACAAATACGTGAGCCGTTCACAGCCCGGTACACGTATTTGTAAAATCTAAGTGACTCGTACAACATGGAATTCATATAAAACGGAATAATCAATGATCTTATACAGGGGTCGACTGTACTAGATTTATAAGAAAATGTGGAACTATTTTAACAATAAATAAAATGAGTTTATTATTATTTTTAATTAAAAGAAAATTATAACATAGCATTTTATAAATATTAAATAAAATATATGAAATTATTCTATTTATAAGTTTTGTAATGAGAATATGTTGAAGAAACAAATGGCAAGAAATAACACTCATTGTATCTTAGATTTAATTTTTAGAATGCTTAAAGATGAAAAAACCTAATTCAAGCAAATAATCTAAAACAGAGTAAAATTTATATATTTGAGGCAGAGCATTAATGAAGCCTATTCTATGTGGTTTACAGAATTGTCTTTATTCTCAGAATTTGATTAAACAAATTTTGATAAAAGTTTGTCATTTTCCATTAATTGCAATAAGAATAATAATAAATGGTGGTTCATAACTTCATTTTCAATATATGCTGGGATCAAAGTGACTCATGCTGTCTGATATGATTGAGCATGTCTATCAGAATTTAGGGAGTAAAAATAAAACAAGCCAAAATTGTGTACACCTAACAGAAAATTTGCATGAAAAATGAACAAGACACAAGAACAAAGCAATCAGTGAGAATTGCTTTGTTCTTGAATTTACTCGGGCAGCATGTGCAAGGTTTGCCTATGTGTCCAGCAGGTGCAAAGATGACATCTCTCTTTTCAGCTTCACCTCAATTCTGATGCAATATGACAGTCACATGATGTCCCTATTGTAGTATGAAGTTTCTCCACATAAGAGTTCATAAAATTTTCAGACATTTGAAAGGAAACTATGGAAATTAAAAGTGAATAATGGAAATGAGACTTATTTTCTTTGTACACATAGAAGAAAAAATATTTTCTATTACAAAATTTATAATTAAATTCAGAAAAGTAAATATCTGCTTGAAACAACTCAAGCTTTTTGAGGTTGTTTCAAGCAACTAAAGTTAACAGAATTTTGGATGATGGAACAGAACTAAAGTTAACAGAATTTTGAAATATTAGAAATTCAAGTTTAAAATATAATTATTTAAAACATGTAACAAAATAATTCTTAATAATTTATTTAATTGTTAAATTTTTAAAGTAAATTACAACTTTGTTACAGAAATTATAAACCAAATCTTTGAGACAAAAATTAGATTAATTAATTAATGTAATTGGAAATGCATTGTATTCTAGAGCTATTTCAAATGGTTTAAGAAGTTAAAAATTGGATTATTTAATGATGAAAATATTTCTTTTAATATACTTTAAGAACTTCAAAATTTCTTACATAGCAACTAAAAAATATACAATACTTTACAATGGAGCTACAGGTATTGATTTATATATTGATCAATATAACAATTTATTGATTTAAAACTGTGTTTGCTTATTAAGAATCATTAAATCATTTACTGACTGTAGGAAGAGAGAAAATATTAAGAGTTATTATTTAACATTTGAACTCAAACTTTTGTTTTTGTATAATAAGAAATGTAATATTTATTAATTTTATTCTTGCTTAACTTATATCATGTAAGAACAGTGTTAAGAATTAAACTTAAAATAAATCTATTTAAAAATTTTTTTATAGGCAGTTCATAGTGTAAATCAAGAAGTACATATAATTTCAGCTGATGATAAAAAACAAATGGTAAGTATATTGATGATTTATATAATTTAGAGAATTCAAATTAACAATTTTTATGTAAATATTTAAAGCTTCACACACATGCTTAAAATATTTAAATAATTAGTGATATGAAATGTGATAATTCAATAAATAGAAAATGTATTGTATTTTTAAAAACAAGTATAATTTGGTGATTTATTGCAGATTGACAGATTATTTAAGAAAGAAGTAATTAGATATAGAGTAAAATAATTGTATTAGTTGAAGTCTAACTAGGAATATCAGTTACATAGAAGCTGAAAAATTTTTAGAAAACTTATTTAATTATATGTAGAATTCTTCATAGAATCAGAATAGTAAAAATTTTACTTTTAAATTTATAATAAATTTTACACATGTCAGTGTATTTTAATGTTTGAGAAATATTGAAAATACTATACATTTCTCTTGGTTTCTATTTCAGTGCTAATAAATCAAAATGTTTTTCACTAGACTTATTACACCATCAATGAAATGGAAAACAAATTTGTACTAATTTGTTACTAACTGTTACTTACTAATTTGTTACATACTGTTACTTAGTATGTTACTAATTTGTACCCGTTATGCTAATTTTTCCTGCATAGTTGTAACACGAGTTGAAAAGGGATAGAATTATCCGAAATGCATTCTCAAATAAATAAAAAATTTTTCTAAAGTTTGTTTTCCATTTCATTGATGGTGTAATAAGTCTAGTGAAAAAGGAGCTCGTATATTTGTACACAAGACTAGACAAGAAGCATATCGCATAAAACAAAATGTTTTTATTAAAACTAATTTCAAAGATGAAAACAAATAGAAAGTACAGTTGTCCCTCTATAGTCTGACGTTTTTTAATCCGACATGCTCAGTAGTCCGACGCATCTCTCGTCAAGATACCCGTCCCCGTTACATGTCTGCTTGCACAGAAGCATGTCACAATGTGAATCTCCCCATCCAATTTTTACACGATGACACACATTTCGTGTGTTTTATGTGAGCAGTTCTGTTCGAACAGTTGGAGTAGAGAATATTGTAAGTTACTGCTAGCAAAACAATGCAAAATATGTAATTATTTTCGGTAATCCGGACACTTTTGGTAATCTGACACACCTTTGGTCACATACCTGTCGGATTATCAAGGGACAACTGTATTTTTATTATGAAACTGTTACCAAGATCTAAAACACAATAATTCTATATGAATCACATAGGTAGTGTTTAAATTAAAATCCAAAATAGAATAAAAAGTAGTGGTGGTCATTTTTGTCATCATATTCCTATTTTCTTTAGAATACAGAAACATGTTAGTGTTGAGAATAATTTTGAAAGCTTGTAAAATTATTATAACATGTAACAACAATATGTAAAATATATTAAGTTTGTAAAGTATTTTAAATTACAGTACTATTGATAAGTATTTGTAGTAAATTATAAATAGCAACAATGTTGCAAATGCTTATTATTATTACTTTATTATAGTGACAAATTGTAACTTTTTTATTTGTTTCAAGATCAATTGCCTAGATTATTTCTTTTGAGGAATAGCAAAATCTACATTCTATATGAAATTCACCACTCCTCAAAAGAAATAATTTGAAGATACATCTAGCAAGTTTGAAATTTAAATTCCTTTTGAAATGATTCACTCTGATGACTACTTGCAATTATTTCATTTAGAGAATTAATATCTTATGTAGCATTGCATCACTTTGTACAAATACAAAAATAAGCATTTCTTTTATTAACAGAAATTTGACTCAATTTTGAGTCTAATTTTTTTCAGTATTTTTAGAGATTGTTGTTTAATTGAATTTCAAAATGAGTATTTAAAACTTAATAAAATTTAATTTATAGGCATTTCTGAATAAAATATTTAGAAATAATGTCCATTTTTTAAAAATATAATGTTAAATACATTATATCTTTAAAAAAAATGTTTTACTTTGTAAATGTTCTTTATCTTGTATTATCCTTGATTTATATAAACACTGAAAATGGCCAGAAGTGAAGCCAAAAATAGCTGAAATATCATTTTGATATTAAGTAAGTAGATTTGTGTCTTGCTTTATTACTGTGGACTTTTTGCCAATATATACTAACTGAACATGTTCATGTACTTAAGGATAGCAGGGCCCTCCACAGTTCTTAGATATACTTTTTAATTACTTTTGAGCATCACAAATAAAAATTTTTTGCAAAACTATGTAGAAAGTCCTTAAAACTGCTTAAATTTACAACAAACTTATAAAAACAATTAGAAAAAAAATACAAAACCATTTTTGTAGAAGTTGAAGGCTTACATTGTGAGACTTATCACACAAAGAGTTGTTATTAATACATTCCAAAATATTGATATAGTTGATGTCTGGCTCAAAGACAGCTATTGTTAGATGTCTTTTAGCCAGACAGAAATGTTTCTTACCTTTCATAGATGAGTGTTGAAAAAGAGAAGAAATTTTGTTTTTTGACTGCAAAGTTTCAAACTTTAGATTGTAATTAATCTGCAGACAACTTTGTTGATTATGAAAAATTAGAAAGTTTTTGTTGAACAGGAAAACAGAATTACAATAGATTAAATCAAAAATAAAGAATATCTTGAAACTGATAAATGAACAATGCTTTTAGTCATAACACTTAAAATAAAAATATTAAGCTTTTGTAATTATTATATAAAGAAAGAATGTTCAGCTCTAAGATTTAAATTAAGCTATTAAAAATATTTACAGATGATAGTTTATGAAACATAAAATTTAGTTTTTATTAAAATAATTTGTTTGAAGTTTGTAATACAAAGAACAAGGTATTCAATGGGATTATTTAAAGTCTAACTTTAAAGTGAATTAAAGACATTGTGCTCTTTTCTTTGGATATGTCTTTTCATTAGAGTTTGAGATAAGTGCTTTAAGCATTTTAAAATTATTTTTAAGTTCATAAAGAATTCATTTTTAGGAGAGAAAGAAGTGGAAATTATGAATGGTACTGTCCTTTTGTCTTTTCTCCTTATGAAGGGTGGATGTTATCTCAGCTCTTAATGGAAATTAGGGAATCAGTATCAATTACAAAGTTTCAGAGAATGACTTATGTAATTTCAACTTTTCTTGTATTCTGAAATGTAAAATGGGATTCCAAAACAGATGGTAAAAGATAACTCCTACCCACATCTGTGAGGATCATGACTTCTGGTCATGATCCCATATTCAAGATGATCAATTAAACTTCAAATTAAAGATGTGTTGTCACAACTGAACAGCATGAGCAGAAAAGAAGTCACACATGAGGAGATGGATGTTTGGATGAAGAATGACTTGTTTCCATTACTCCATTACTAAACACTGTTTATTGGAGTGAGAGAGAGTGCACTTGTACATTATCTTTTGGTTTCGTATACAATCTGAGAAGTCTACAATTTTGTTGTTTTCTTATTCATCCAGCTGGCTATCTTCCTCTAAAATCTGAGCATAAAAATAAAGTCCAATCTCACAAATTGGAGAAAAGAGGCAAAAAATATATATGCAGTAGAATTTACTGAAGAGAGAAGAGTAAAGTGGACCAAGTTGCCACACCCAATTGGGATTTATGTGAAGATGTTAGAGAGCACACAGCAGGTTCTGTTGACAGAAATGGAAAATACACTTAGTTGCTTTTGGTAATTAACAATGGAAAAGTGCACATCCTTGGGACACATGATTTTATAGAGTTAGTTATTCTAATTGGTCTTGAACAATTCCTTCTGATGCTTGATTTGTCTCTCAGTTGTTTCTAAGTGAAATTAGAGCTTGCTATAGACCTTGGGAAGAAGTTAACGTTGATAATTAAGTCGACACCAAATTTGATCATAATCAGGGATATTTACTGATCCTGGTACCTTCCTTTGTCTTAAATGAAGCTGAGTATATTGTTCCTCAACAGAAATTTGATGTTCAAGTCACACTTGTACATAACTTCCTCACATTGTCACATTCTGTAGCAAATTTATTAATGAAGGGGTATATACAAACACATAAATTATTCAACCTCATGAAACCTGATAAATTTGTAAAGCCAAACAACCATCGGATTACATTGGGATACTTTTTCATGATTATTTGAATATTCTAAATTATTTAATAAATATTAATAAAATTTAGTTAATATTACATTAAAAGTATACAAACTCTATATTAAATTTGTAATATTCACTAAACTATTAATCAGGGTTAATAGCAATCAAATGTCATACTATTTTATATTAGTTTAACACAAATGTGCAAGTTTTTAGTAGTGAAAGGGTCGCGGAGNATTATTTTTAATTAATTACTAAATTAAATATAATTGCAGAAAAGTAGCTCGCTGTAATTTAGTGGTTGTCTGGCTTTAATAGAGGGGTGTTAAGGTAGATGTCTGAACACTTGTAGGACCTCACACATCACTTCATAATACATTTACAATATGGGTAGAGACTGAGATATTCATACAACCATGGGTGGGTCTAAATGATCTATATGAATGGTTTATCTGTTGAAAGATGATATCAGATGATAAGCGTTCACTTAAGCCAATATTACAGAATTGTTTTCTGTAACATTGGGTTAAATGAACATTTTTTAAATTTTGATTACTAAATAATTTAGTTGAATGGAAAATACTAAAAATCATTGTATATTTCTTGAGTTTACATATCTAAAATGCTTGCAAATGACTGCTTGTACTACTGTAATGGATGATATATTAGTTTTGCAGAGTTCTGTAGTTTTAATGATACAACTATGTGTTGTTGTGGAGACAGTTATTTTTATTATGTAAAAAAAGATGTGTAAACATCAGTGATTTTTTTTTCTAATCACTTTTTTGTAATTTTCCTGATTGTAAATTTTGCATTTTAGGCCCTCGTGTATGGTTGGTTCTCTTATGTAATGGTGCATGACAAAAATGCAGCACTGCATGCTTCATTTTTTTACAGTATGTTTCATGTTCCATATATGTATTGGCAAAAGACCTACAATAGTTGCATAATCATTTTA